TATTATCATGGCAATCATTTCATCCATATGACGTGTAACAATAAATATGTATTCCTTACATCACGTCTCTCCGGTTTGAACTAGCGTATTGGTTATGAACAAGACTTCACTTTAAAATAGGGAACATGTTCTTAGATATAAATACCTAATTTTGAGTTATTTAGACTTAATTAACACTTATAGTTTCATGTCCTGTTACATAAGAATAGATCATATTTGTTAAGTGTTATTATGGGAGAATAACTATTCTTGTGGTACTACTGCCTTATTATGCCCATATTGAGCATAGCATATTAAGACCAAAACTCATGTACAACAACTTCCTTACTTGCAATAAATAAACACTAATTAGCCTGTTAAACCCCATCCCCCCGCCACCAGGGGGAAAAAGGCATAATCTGCAGGAAACAGCGTCCGAGGGCTTCTTAATATTTAATAAACTATGAATGTTTCACATCCATGTAATGGGAAGAAACTCAGCTAATTGATCTTTTTTTTTTGTGCAAAAAAAAACACAAAGCTAACGCTGAGCCTCTGAATTAGCCTCGAGCGAAAAAATGCTAACGCCGTTTGCACAGAAAACACGGTATAACCAGTGTTGGGTGTAACGCGTTACAAAAGTAACAGAGTTACAGTAATATATTACTTTTTGCTGTAACGAAGTAATGTAACGCATTACTAATGAAATGTGGGTAATATATTACCCGTTACAATGCTCAGTAACGCAGTTACAACACATTTCAACCCGAAATTAAATGGTGTTTTGTTTTTTAAGAATGTAGCCTACTAACATAGCGAGACAGTCCGACACCAGAGACAAATTGTGCTGGTAGATTAGTAAACCTGGTGTGTTTACCCTTCAGGCTTCGCGTCGGGATCTTCGGGGCAGTTGAATGTTATGCACCCTCTATTAAAAAAAGAGAACTGAGCGAAAAATACAAACAACAAATTGTGTCAGGTGCGCGTGGCGTGACCTGCTCCGCTGCGCGTGCATCATTTCCAAAGTGCTTCCACAGCAGTGACCAGGGCCGCCCCTGGCCAACTTGGGGCCCCAAGCGACATTGTGAGATGAGGCCCCCCCCCCCCCCCCAACCGACAGGAATGAAAAAAAAACATTTTGGGAACAAAGTAGGCTACTTTGCACATATAATTCCTGTTTATTATTATTATCAACACTTTTTTATGCAGTAAGGTAAATGGTTGTGCATGTATGTCGTTCAGTATGCGTTTACAGGTGAATACGTCTGCATTTCCTGCCAAATACTAGCCTCAAAAAGATTAAAATATAATTAATGCAAATAAACTACTTCTACTAATAATAATAATAATAATCATAATCATAATCAATTCAATAATATAAATACTATATTCTTTTATTATAATATAGTCAAGACAAAACATTCTTATGACATGCTCAAAAACTGATATTTCTTAAATCTGTATTCAAACGTAGTTCCCTCTGTCAGCAATGTATCAACAACTACACACACATTTCTATCAGTATTTCTCTGTGTTGTGGTTGACATGATGATGACTGTTAGGAGTTGAGGGGAGAGGCTGAGCATCACCATGAAATGTGCAAATTGACATAAAAATGAATATAAGGGGGAAACATGCTCCATGTTTTTTAGGCTGTAAACTTGAACTGTTATGTAAGCCAACTAGACAGACAGTGTATCACTCTTCCTCCTGTGCATTAGCAGATAAAAGGCATCACATACTTGAATGAATGTTAAATAAAGAATGTTGGAAATAACTGCATCTCCATATGTTATGCAGAGACTGCCTTCTTCATGTCGTGAATTGCAGCTGATGGCAATTGGCAATTTGACTTATACAACATTCGCAAGTTGTACATTTGACAATAACCCACCTTCGAGTGATGCTCTAGTTTCTTCAAGTTTTGTTTTTTTTCCCTCTAGCTTGCGCCGGACTGAAACTGTCTTTTCACCGACATCTCTTCACCTGCACTAGTGGCCGTATCAAAGCCGTGATTGGTCAGATGTCGATTCATTGCAACAGTGTCGGTTTACAGACGTGCTCCCCTTGTCACCTCTCACTATCCCGTGTCAGCCGGGGGTGCGCGGAGAACTGCGCACAGCAGCTGAGGCCCTCTGGGCGGGGCCCCCTGCGCAAGGCGGGGCCCCATGCAGCCTGCGTGATTGGCCTGTAGGGAGGGGCGGCCCTGGCAGTGACACACATCTGTGGATAATCATTTATACGAAATTAGTTAAAGCAACCATTACTTAACGCCAGCAACACTGCATCTACTGCAGACAGTAGCAACAGGTCAGATGGGGACATCACGTTACCCTCCGTTGTGGACACGAGCTTACTCCCGCCTGACTCGACGCCCTCGCCCCCGGAGCAGCAGTCTTCGTTGCCCGAAACTACGCCGCCCCTCTGCGGCCTGCAGGTGCCAGGATACCACGGCAAAACAGAGCCTGCCCAGGTATATCTAAACGAGTACCTGCCTGTACAGTGGGGTAAGGCGGTCATGTTGCAGCTCGTGGTATACAAATAGACAAGGGCTAGAATATTCATGTGAAAATAGTGCCATATTCTGCCATGCCTGTAGAAATGTTGGGTCAAAAATAATGCATACAATAGCACAGATGCCTTCACCACGAATGGCTACAAAAATATCTCATATCCCAAGCTTATCAACAAGCTGATGTTGCAGCTGAAATGTTCTCCAGGTCACAAAGTTAACCTCACATGATGATGTGATACCAGTTTTCAAGCACAGTAAATATTCTCTTCCCAGAGTATATGATGGGATCAAAGTGATGATTTAGTACATGGTTTTAATAATACTTTTGCTTTTCAATGTTTGCCATTTCAAACCATGAGCTGGTTCAAATAATATTTGCCTTGATTTACATTATGTTCTCATTTGTTTTATCAGTACAGTTTTGAAGCTTTTGTGCTTTTCTTTGCCGTAGTCCACTTTGGACTATATGAGATATTTCAGGATTGCACTTTTAACTCACTTGAAATGTTCTCACTTGCTTGGTTTCAAAATATAACAAATGCCATAATCTGTTCATTGGGGACCATCAATGCTATTTTTCATTGCTGTTGCCGGCCACTATTGCTCATGTAAACCTACTACTGCTGCGCCCCCTGTAATCTCAGAGGCACCCTGAGTCATTTTGTTCTGGAACCGGGCCTGTAAACGGCCATATACTAAACACACTATAGAGCCCATTCCGTGTTCCTGTTATTGTTTACTCTCTGCCTTCTTCTGGTGATTTATCTGACGTCCAGCGCTCCGTCTTTTAACCTCTTGTCCTTTCTCTTTCTTGATCCTCCTTAGCAACCTTCATTATAGTCCTTGACAGTGGTCTGTACTGCTGTATTATCAACGTGTCACATGTTAAGAATTTACAATCAGAATCGAGTATTCAACTAAGCCGTGTAATAAAAGTTGTTAGTAGCCTTAAGGGCCTAAACAGTTGTTATGCTATACCACATTGCCCTTCACTGGATGTATAATGAGCTGCACTAAACTACATTTTAGCATTTAAAACACCTAGCCATTCTTTTGTGGTTATTTTGGTGAAAGTAACTACAAAGTAACTAAAAAGTAGTGTAACTCATTACATTTCAGAGACAGTAATATTGTAATGTAACTTATTACTTTCAAAAGACAGTAATAAGTAATATGAAATATATTACATTTTGGAAGTAACTTGCCCAACACTGGGTATAACACCCTTATTACTTATCGTAACTGCACATCCAACATATCGATTAGCATTGTGAGAATACACAGAATCGATAGGTATATATCATCACTCCATGATAAGAACTTGCGACATTATAAACAAAAACAGACATCACAATACGTGGGGCGAGGTAGCCAAAACGGCAATATGTCTTACCTTTGTCGTTGTCTGATCAAAAGTTGTCTTCAATGGCATTAAAACGATAACAACGTTGCTGAAGGTGAATCCATAGGTGAATCCAATGTGTCTGTGTCACTTTGAAATTATTTCTGATAATCCATCAGCAATAAACCTACTTTTAAGTTTTCATATTTCAGAGCGTGAGATCCAAATGACCCCAGAGGTGGAGTTTTTTTTGCTAAACCTCTCTAAAAAGGTAAAATGTCACTTGTTTTGCATCAATCTTAATACAGGGTACTTATTATATGTTGTACTTTGGATTCCTAAAGCTTTTAGTCTACTAACCCATCATCCAAGGGTAGTTTTCACTATAAGTAAAAAAGTATTTTTGGACGGACACTATCATTTACAATTTTTTACTATGTTCAATCTGAATTTTCTTTAAAATAAAAAACATCTATATTGATTCTGACTTTTCTACATCCAACTCACAGGTTTATCATTACTTTGAGAAAAAAGATGATTAATGTTCCCCTTTTAGAAGGGAAGATATGGTCATTTGTTCTGGAAATGTCATTTTCGAGCCTGAGACCTGAAAAACAGGCTTGGGGCATAACAGGTAGGGTTATTGAGGAAACACTCTCAACTAATGGCTTATTTCTTGTAGAATATGGTCATGCAGAATAAGGCATTAATAAGTGTTTTATAATGACTAATAAAGCGCAAATATACTGCTAATATGTATGCTAATTAACAACCAGTTGATGGTTAATTTGTGTACCTTAATAAAGTGTTACCAATTTATTTTTAACTTATGAGCAATACAATTAAGAACAAAATAATTTACAGTATGCTTGTAAATTTGAATAAAGGAATTCAATTCAATAGTGACGAGAAGCAGCAGAAAATGGCAACACCCAAGTTTCTATGTCCTATTCTCACATGAGTGTTTAATATACATTTTGAAACACATGTTTATATTGCATAAAACCTGTGTAGGCGTTCCTGGATTTCTACACCACTCCCCATTACCAACTGAGGATGTCCTGTCAAGTGTGTGTGAGTGTTAGTGTGTGTGTGTGTGTTAATGAGAAATGGGAGGGTAGAAGCTCCTGCTGCTTGATTGCTCAGATATCTGTTAACATCAGAGCTGGAAGGAGTCATCTGGTGGCTTCAGGCTTCACTCAGAAACACAGCGAGGCCTCAGGAGGGACCCTCACCCTAACCCTCTTCATCTACAGAAAGCGCCTCATCACAACAAGGTACAGTAGAGTCCAATTATATTTATTTTTGTGATGTAACAACTTGTTTCCAACATACATTTTCTAAATAAAAGGGAAAGCCTACCCATACGAGGTTAAGGTCTAACTAAGAATGCGAATTCTTGATATCAAAAATGCAATTCTTACTAGTAATAATGTGTATTCTTGATATCAGAAATGCGGTTATATCTAGTGAGATTTGCATCATTTTTCTCATTCATTTCAATTTCTGATATCAGTAATTCATTTGTTACTAGTTACAATTACATTTGAACTAGTAAAAATACAAATTTCTGATATCAAGAATTCAATTTGAACTAGTCGAAATGCACATTTTTGACATCAGAAATACAATTTGAACTAGTTCAAAATCCTTTTTTGATATCAGGAATTCAATTGTAACTATTTATAAATAAAAAATGTAATTATAACTAGTAGCAATTTAATTCCTGATGTCAAAAAAGTATTTTTAACTAGTTCAAATTGTATTTCTGATATCAACAAATGAATGACTGATATCAGAAATTGGACTAATTTCCAACTCCCATTGAAATGAATGAGAAAAACGATGCAAATCTCACTAGATAAAACCGCATTTTGTGATATCAAGAATTTGCATTCTAACTAGTTAAAATAAAAATGTTGAAATCAGAAATAAACATTATTACTAGTAAGAATAGAATTTTTGATATCAAGAATATGCATTCTTACTATAGATTTTCTGATATCCTCCAGAAATGAATATAAGCTGAATCGGCTTGCCATAAACTTTAGCTATTCAAGCCTACACATATTGCAAGAGTTTTTAAAATCGAGGGTTACCATTTAGACATCAGACTGTTAGTGGCATTATGGGTAATGTAGGCGTCATGTTTTTCTTAGAGAGAAAAATGCATGTACACTACAGTAATCAAAAATGTCTTGATATTCAGTCCTTTGTGAGTACAACAGTGTTGCTAAATATATGCAGTAGTCTACTCTTTAAAGGGCCATCGTGCAGTATTTCGGGGAACAATTCGCAGACATTTAATAAAATATACAGAACTATGTTTATATTAGTGTAAAATATAAAGATAGGGGAAAGGGTCCTCATCATGGAGTCTGAATACATGTTGCACCACCATGTTCCTACATTGGTTTAGAAAGGACAAATCAAATGCTCTCTAGACAGTGTATTTCACGCTTTAATGCTACCTGAAGTTGTTCTCCGACATGCTTGTAAAGCTGCGGTAACACCAGTCGCCTCCTGAGATGTATTGCTTTTAAAATATTAAACCATATATTTACTCACAGCACCTCAAAGTGAGACATTTATAACTTCCATTTGACGTTTTTGCTTCTTCTCATATGTTGAGGCTTTAATATCCGACTCTACTACTTTTTGTAATATTCCAACCCAGCACGTCTCCCACCCTCCTCCTGAGTTTCTGTTGTGTAACATAATCAGATTAACCCCAGAATAAAACTGAACAATTTCCAGTTATATGAAACAGTTTTCCCTCTGCTTTTCACTCCAGACCATGAGCGCTCACGAGCACAACGCCACGCTGGAATTGTTCGACCACTGCACCATCGACATGGTTTCTGCCAGAGACTACCGGCGCATCGCCCTCTTCCTCATCTACCTTTTCATCTTCATGGTGGGCCTGCTGGAGAACGTGCTGGTCATCTGGGTCAACTGGCGCCGACGCCACTCTGCCAACGGGGTCCTGTTCTGCATCCTCAACGTGAGCCTGTCGGACCTCATGGTGATCGTGACCCTGCCGTTCTTCATGATGGAGGTGACCATGGACAATGTCTGGCTGTGGGGTCGCTTCCTCTGCAAGGTGACTTACCTCGTCTACATTGTCAACTTCTACAGCAGCTCCTTCTTCCTGGCCCTCATGACCGCGGAGCGTTATCTGTCCCTGACCAGACCCTCGTTTCCCGCCTTCTTCCCCGTGCTGGGCCGCCGCCGATGGGTGCTCTGCGGAGGCCTTTGGGTGCTCTCCTTGTTCCTGGCGCTGCTGGAGAACGTCCACATGGATCTTCTGGAGAGGAACGAGCCGGGCTGCCACTTTATGCCTGAACACAACTCCACCGAGTGGTTTGTCTCTGTGATTTTCCTCTCCCTGGTCTTCCAGTTCTTGGGCCCCGCCGCCGTCATCATCACCTGCAACGTGCTGATCGCTCGTGCGGTTCGGACGGCGCCGGATGTTCAGGGCCGGCGGGACGTGTGGCTGGTTCACGTTTACTCCCTGGTGTTTGTCCTTTGCTGGTTGCCCTACCACTTCGTCGTGTTCCTGATGATCGTGCACGACATCGACCCCGACATCTTCAGCTGCAACACGATGCGCGTGCTGTACTTCTCGTTCACCGTGGTGCAAAGCCTGTCTCTTTTTCACTGCGTGGCAAACCCCATCCTCTACAACTTCCTCAACAAGAGCTTCCAAGACAACCTGGTCAACACGGTGCTGAGCCAGTTACCCAGAGATGGAGCTGGGAACCAGCTGGGAGCCGGGACCAACGCTCCCAACGGAGGAGGGGGAGACCCGGGGAAGCAACGCAAGTTAAGTAACGCCAGCACCAGCCAGTCCGATGTTGCATCATAAATAAAAAGAAGCTGAGATGAGAAAACTTCACGATACGTTTTCTATAAAGATTTGACAGAACTGAATGGAGATCATCAGATCATCTCTTTGGTCAGACTCATTGTGATGTTTGTTACAGCCTCACTCTCATAATCCATTTCCTGTTATGTTTTTGTTTTCTTACCATGTATCTGATCACAGAGGAAGACAGGAAATGTTTGAAGTGCTTTTTTTGTTGTTGTTTAAAGCTGCTCAACTCTCACAGAACTCATGGCAGTCTCCAAGGTGTCCTGGCACAGAATAACCGTGCCACAGCAGGAATGTGTGAAAACAAAGCTGATCGTGCCAGATAATCCTCATAAACATCTTGTGTTTAATTTTCAACAGATAAATCATTACTTAATTCTTATTTATCTGTTCCAGGATGCTACTGTAGTCTAAATTTGCTGTAACATATAATAAAACTTCATAAAACACTGTTTGCATGTAAGCTGCAAAACCTGAGCTTGCACTTTATCACAAAGAGCAGAAACGAGCTTTCGGGGCGTGAATGTTTTTAAGCCTAAATGTATTTTGCTAAAGAGACATGTTGCTGCTCTTGCACTTAGTTATCTCCCTTCTCACAGTCTTTATTACATTTACTTAAATTGCTGTCCATCTGGAATGTGTCACTTTCAACAGTTTAAATGATAAGGAGGCAGAAAAAGGAAAAGGGGGTGTTCGTCCACACATGGCACAATAGCAGGAAGAGTTTTTAAAGAGGGCAAAGGTCACGTGGCCCTGGAAGCAGGAAACTGCGCACATTTCCTCAAGTTCATCACTGGAAATCTGATGATGGATGTTTTTTGTGTGGTTCAGGACGCTCTAAAAGGTCGTTAAAACAGATAAAAACATCAGGGGGTGATAACAGTCTTCCAAAAGGCAATTATTCAATTATTTTTAAGAAACCATATTTTTACCATATAAAGCCAACATTCTGTCATGGCTCTCAGCCACAACAAACGCGCGACAGAAACGAGAGCGTGAATAGAAAAAAAAGAGTTTATTTGGCTGCTGCTGAAGTACACAAACAGGCGAAACAAAAGGTCAGCTGGTCGTGACTGCTCTTCACGTTGCGTCCTCCTGCCAGAGAGAGAGAGAGAGCGAGATCCGGTCCAGTCCTTTATCCGGCTAGCTCCATCCGCCAGGTGTCCTCAATTCCCGTGAGCACACACAGAGGGAGAGTCATTAAAGGGCCACACACACCCACCACCAGAGATAGTGAGGCAGGGGTCGTCACACCCCCCCCCTTAAAGTCGGTGTCCCCAGGGCCACCGGCACCACACACCAACCCCATCCCAAAGGAAAAAGTCATGGAAAACAAAACCACACATATGGCACTCCCCCAGAACCCCCATGAAATACACCACCTTCACACAGCAATCCTCGCCTTCAGCACCCTGCCACACCTTTAGCAACACCAGTATCTGAGAAGCACTTTAAAAAACATGGGCAGAGCGAGAAAGATTTATCACAGTATGACAGTCCATATATATACACATCAAGGTCAAACTAATAACTGCTTAGTGCCATGGAGCACGTGACAGCGCGTCAGCAATAACATTGTCGGATCCCCTAATGTGCCTAACATCAAGATTGTAAGCCTGAAGAAACAAAGACCACCTCGTCAGCCTTTGGTTGGGACACTTCATTGAATGCAAAAAGGTCAGGGGATTGTGATCTGTGTAAACCAAAATTGGTCCTCCTGCTCCCACATATACAGTGAAATGCTGCAACGCCCAAATGAGTGCTAACGCTTCCTTCTCAATCACCGAATAATTCCTTTGGTAACTGTTAAGTTTCTTTGAAAAGAAACTGACGGGTCTCTCCACCCCCCCCTTGTCAACCTGGAGCAGAACCGCACCGACTCCCACCTAGCTTGCATCTACTTGGAGACTAAAAGGACGATCAAAACATGGAGCCGCTAACGCCTGAGAGGAGCACAATAGAGACTTAACACTATCAAACGCTCTGACAGTCGACCGACCAAGTATATTTTACCTTAGCCCTAAGAAGTTCCGTCAGAGGAAACACTGTAGTGGAAATATGTTCACAGAACCTCCTGTAGTAACCCACCATACCCAAAAATCTTTGGAGTTCCTTTTTGGTTGTGGGCTGTGGGTATTCAGATATTGCCCTGACCTTGGCCAGAACTGGAGCCACACAACCCTGACCCACCACATGACCAAGGTATGTCACTGTGGCCTTTGCAAAGGCACATTTGGCCAAATTAATAGTCAGATGTGCCTCTGTCAACCGTTCAAACAACCTCTCGATGCGCTGAACATGAGCCGTCCAAGTATCACTGCAAATTACCAAATCGTCTAGATACACCGTACAGCCCTCTAAACCCGACACCACGCGATTCATCAAACGTTGGAATGTAGCAGGAGCATTTTTTTAACCCAAACGGCATTACCTTATATGAATAAAGTCCAGATGGTGTGATAAATGCTGCTATTTCCTGTGCCCGCTTAGACAAGGGGACCTGCCAATACCCTTTAAGCAAATCGAATTTGCTAACATACTTTGCAGACCCCACCTGATCTATACAGTCATCCATCCGTGGCAAAGGAAAAGAGTCTGATTTTGTCACCGCATTCACTTTTCTTAGATCAGTACAGAATCTAGGTGTCCCATCCTGCTTTGGCACCAAAATACATGGAGACGCCCAACTAGATGCTGATGGGACAGCAATTTTATTCTCCACCATGTAATTAATCTCTGCATCCAACCGACTGCGCTTAACTGGTGGCATGCGATGAAAATGTTGCTTAATCGGCTGAGCGTCCCCAACATCAATATCATGCTCAGCCCAGTCAGTTTGCGAAGGAGTGTCTCCAAACAGACACAGATATTTGTGTACCAATGCTGATAATTCCTCACGTCTTGATGCCGTCAAATGAGACAACAACCCGTCTAAATTATCTAGCGATTCCGAATTTCTCAAACGACCACAGAGCAAACTATCATCAGGTTCGGGCACTATATCTCCCTCATGCGTCAAACCATGTGTCACCACCACAGCCGGCTGCACTTTATCCTTCTCCACCTCTGTGTCTGTGTTAACCTCCCGCTTGTGGTAGGGTTTCAGAAGATTTACATGACAGAGGCGTTTGGTCTTCCTTCGTTCTGGTGTTGCCACAACATAATTTAGGTCAGAAGTTTTCTCAATGATAGTGTACGGACCTGAATACTTAGCCTGAAATGGGGAACCAACAATAGGCATAAGTGATAGAACCTGGTCACCTGGATTAAACTCCTGTCGTGCCGAACAACGGTCATAGAACTTCTTCATGTTACTTTGAGACACTGACAGCTTTTCCCGTGCCATACTCAAAGCAACACCTAAACGACGTCTGAAGCCATTCACATAATCCACCAAGCTCCGTGGTGGCTCAGTGTCAACACAACCCTCTTTCAGCACTGCCAAGGGACCCCGTACAGCATGTCCGAAAACCAACTCATTAGGGCTAAACCCCGTACCTTCATGTACCGCCTCCCTTGCAGCCAACATCAACCAAGGAAGACCTTCCTCCCAGTCTCCATCTAGCTCAGTACAGTAAGCACGCAACAAGGATTTCAATGTCTGGTGAAACCTTTCCAAGGCACCCTGGCTTTGAGCGTGGTAAGCTGTTGACTGGTTCTTCTTAATCTTCAAAAGCTTCAACACCTGAGCAAACATGTGAGATGAAAAATTGGAGCCTTGATCACTCTGGACGACCTTAGGAATACCAAATATTGAAATAAACTGTGACAAAGCCTTAACCACAGCCTTAGTTGTAATCGACCTCAAAGGATAAGCCGCTGGATACCTAGTGGTTTGACACATCACAGTCAGCAGATATTTGCAACCAGACTTTGAACACGGTAAAGGGCCCACACAATCCACAATGAGATGTGTAAACGGTTCACTTACCACTTGTATCGGCTGTAGTGGTGCTGGTTTGATCTTCTGGTTTGGTTTCCCTGTTAGCTGACACACATGACATGTAACACCAGCTTACCTTACCGGAATGGACGAGCCCCCAGCTGTCATGGCTTGGCTCTCAGCCACAACAAACGCGCGACAGAAACGAGAGCGTGAATAGAAAAAAAAGAGTTTATTTGGCTGCTGCTGAAGTACACAAACAGGCGAAACAAAAGGTCAGCTGGTCGTGACTGCTCTTCACGTTGCGTCCTCCTGCCAGAGAGAGAGAGAGAGCGAGATCCGGTCCAGTCCTTTATCCGGCTAGCTCCAGCCGCCAGGTGTCCTCAATTCCCGTGAGCACACACAGAGGGAGAGTCATTAAAGGGCCACACACACCCACCACCAGAGATAGTGAGGCAGGGGTCGTCACAATTCAAACATAGCTTGAAAAGCAGATATGTATAAAGGCAAATAACAGTTACACTGCCATCATAAATATGAGGTAAGACACATATCACACAGAAAGGTGATGGGCATTGAAATATCTCTATAACACGCTCTAAACAAGTGAACACAGCATGTGGCTAAAATGCACATTCTAAAATCATATAGAAGGAAACATTATTCAACATAAAACAACACGTTTCATGATTCAATGACAAATAAAAAGCACTCAAGTCTTAAGTGGATGGTCATGCTGTACCTGTGGTGTCAATGTGACAAATAGTGACTGCAACTCTAGGAAAATAATTGATATGCTACAATGAGGTGCTACTTTAATAACAGTGTAATTATCAACCACTGGCATAAAAACCTATCCTCATATTAAAGTTATAAAGTTACAGACTCAATCGGAGTAGATACATATGATACACTGCCATCAAGTGGTTGCTTTTTATCTTAGTTCAAAGAGACACCTCAGACTCAATGAACAGCATCCGACAGATTATATATATCCACTACGCTCTTAAAGTATAAACATGTACCTTCCCGGATATTCCGGAATAAGACCCAAATATATATATATATATATATTTATTATTATTTTATATATATAGGCTATAGGAAACATATTTATTTATTTGTATTCTTACCTGAAGAGAATGAGGTTATGTGTTTGTTTGTATTTTGTTGTGTGACCAAGCCGACTGTTTGTCTTGATGTTGTAATATATCGTATGTTATGTGATCTGCACAACTGTAATGTGATACTGTCAATCACAACCCCTCTGTCATCTCTGTTTAATTTGTGTACGAAAATTAATAAACACATTTATAAAATAAATAAAGTATAAACATGTTAAAGAGGTGATGTAATAAATGGATGAACATAAAAGTAATGTGTTATTTTTAAGATTTAGCAATCCAAAAGTTCAATATTCTCCTACTTTTTTACTTAAAAGTTTAACTCGTGATAAACTGAATATCTTTTGGGTTTTGGTTTTGGAAAATACACAAACAATTTCATGATGTCATCTCAGAATCAAAATGTACTTTAAAACAAATGTTTTGGCATTTTACATCAGCAAAA